TTTGAGTACTCCTGCAATAAGTTGAGCGAAATGTTCTGCGAGAAATACAGCGAGATAAACAGATTATATTGGTCTTTGCTGAAAGTATCGTGAGGAAACATAAGGTTGAAAATGTGGTTGAATGACGGAGGTGCTCCTGCTGTTCATGGAACAAAATTCCTACCCAAATGATAGTCTATACAGTTGTATTCCTGGAGTCTAACTTTTCACCTACTTCCTATATGACTAAAATACAATGAATTATTTGCCCTTTCTGCCATTTGATAGCCCCAAAAAGTCAATCCAAGAGCATTGAGGCCCTTGAGATCAAAATATGCTTACAAAGGAGCCAATTTGGTACTAAAATTAGTAACATGCATGTAGTCAAATGACTAGCATCAGTTTCATGGCTGTATCTACAAGCCTGCGGTTGTATGATTTGCCTTCCCTAGGATATAGAGTCCTGGACTCGTAACTCATCGTTTCTATAAAAAGCATAATCAGTCATGGGTTGCTCACAGTACGGGTCACATAGACGCCGAGGCATCCACTAATTAGTCATTTTGGTGATTGAAAGAAGCTGGGTATAACAGAATTTGCGTCCATGTTTTAACCATGTTGGTTACTGGCCATCATGACGGCGGTATCATGCAACACTTTTGCTTGAAATTTGATACCTTGGAGAGATCATAGTGAGAACGTAGCAGTAGCGGCAGAATTGTTCGGCTTCTCCCCGACCTGATCGCTATAAAAAGTTTCCCTCGGTACTCATTGCACAGAAGAGATCATTCAGGCTTTCGCAATACCAACATACCGACAGACAGAATGACTGAGCAACTAATCACAGAGTATTCAAGAACGGCCGAAGAATATCGCAGAAAGGCCATTGAAGTGCTTAACAAGAAGCGAGAAGGTTCAAGTGCCAATACACGAACACAGGAGGATACCGCTACAATCCATGATCTACTTGTTGATTCTATGCTTCGAAAGCCCCTCACTGCAGACCAAGTGCTCAATACGAACAATTGGAAGGACCTGGAAAAGGATATCGTAGTGTGCTCAGAAGATGACGCATGTCGAATTTTTGAGAGACAAGTTCCGCCATTTCCAATTCTTGTCGGGCCACTTACTCGCGAAACCGGAACCATACAGGATTTCTTAAAAAGTATGGACCCTGCAACCGATGTTGATGTACACGACTTTAGCCTAGACGTAAGCGTCCATGGCCGTATCCCTCAGAGAATGAAAGGAAATGTTGCCATCAAAATGTTCGAGGACGAAACCAGGATAGATCCTGTGAACTTTCTGAACCTGCACATCTTGGAGGACAATCCGCTCCCTTCATTTCTAAGAAATAGAAAGGATTATAACATCCTGGAATTCTCCCATGCTGAGAAAAGGAAAAGAACATCTCAACAAAGCGCTGCTGACCTTGACAGATGGACTTCCTTTCAATTACTCGCCAGTGAAGGGGCCGTCCATCTACCTCATATCGACCACCACGGGATGAATACGGTGGTTTTTAACGAAGAAGGACACAAGATGTGGCTCATGTGGCCAGGAATAGGGCCTGACGAGATTTCTGAAGTCTGTGGATCAAGAAAACATCTCCAGGGTGGTCTCCCTGTTTACGTACCACCGAGATATATGCTTTGGCAGCCACTGGGGACATTACATGCACCGATCACAATAACGAATTGTCTCATGAGTGGTAGAATGCTCGTGCATAGCTCTCAACTTCTTGATACACTGAAGTATACTCGGGCAGGAATCAAAGATCCAGATATAACCAATGAGGCCTTTTCCCGACAGATGTATGAAAGGATGACAAGGACTTTGCATCTGTGGAAAAAGGAATCGAATTTGACGGAAGCTGGCCAGCAGACCTTTGCATGGCCGCCACCCGAATCTCAAAAGGAATGTGAAGAGATCTGTAAGGTAAGCTGGCGATATCGTAATTACCAGTTCTATGGTTTGGTAGTGCTAACAAACTCAAGTGGCTAGGAGCAGGCTGTAAGTGCAGCACTCAAGGTTGCGAATCGTGCATTTGTGTTCGACATAACAGGCCCTGCGACCAGAGATGCTATGATGCTGGCGAGGCCAACAAATGTGCTAATCGAAGAGGGATACGCGCCGCGGAAACAATTTTAGTGGAACATCAGAGGAAAAGGAGAAGAGTGAAGATATAAGATCATCATGGTATTGCTAACTGATTTGGCCAATTCATCCAGTGTACAAGGTAGAGGTTTGGTTACGTTCTTTCTTTTCTTGTCTTCTTGCAATGTAATTGCTATTATTTATTAATTTCTGTGAGATCAACCTTTTACCTGTAGGAATACAGCGATATGTTATCTTTTCGAGCACTACGATCCACACGAGTAAACACACGTAAGAGTTATAATTTAAGGTGCTCCAACTGAAGTGCAAGTGACGCTTGTCTCTTGCACAATAGTATCGGCATAGACGATCTTCACAGAACCGATGTTTTATTAGGTTGGGTACAGTCATTCAGGTCTAATTATGGCTGGG